AACGCCAGCAAGAGCTTTGCGAGGACAGGCCGCGCCACTGAGTCCGCCGAAACACGCGGGTCTCTGATGACTACCTACCAGACCACCCCAACCCAACGCGAAGACCCGAATTTGAACCCAATTTCGGGTTGGGGGGTACGGGTTCCATGTGTTTTTTCAACGTGCGGCGGCGGCGGCGGCGGAGGCGGCGGTGGCGGCGGCGGATTGACCCCCAGTAGCTACCCATCCAAAAACGACTGCTGAATATGCTGAGGCTCGGGCCAGACTCGGGTGCTACGTATGTGTTGGGAGGGCGGGTGGGAGTGAGCGAGACGGCTTGCGAGCGGGGGGGGGTCTTGACGCTCCCCGACCCCACTCCCACTGGAGATGTAGGGCAAATTGAGGGCTTCGGGTTGGGTTGGGGTGGTTTGGTGGGTGGTGATCTGAATCGGTCAATCGCCGTCCACAACCGCAGACGACGCCTCGTCCCGGCAGCGGCCTTGGCCGCCAGAGCGGCGCTGGCTGAGCCGCGCGGCCACGCTAGCTTCTGCAGCAAGCGCGCGACTCGATTCGGCTCCCGACCGCCGCTTGCCCATTCGGACTCGTCAAGACCTATGATATTTCAATGCGCAGTCGCCGGAAGAGCCTGGCGCCTTGCCGGCCGCCGGCAAAGCCCGGCGACACGAGCTTTCGCTGGACTGGCCGAACAGCGCCAGGCATGACCCGCCACCCCCAGACGTCGCAGGGCGATGCAAACAGGCATGCTGACGAGGCAGCGGCGGGCACCGAATGCCCAAACACCGAAAGCGCAAACACCACTGAAGACCATCGACACTTCACTGCGACACCACCGAAACACGATGAGGCAGCAGAAGACCAAGTAAATACCACCACGACTGCGCTGCGACTGGAAACCCACAGCGCGACAACTAGTTGCCAGTGGAGACGCGGCACCGCCTGCACGATAGGCGCCGCGGCGGAAGCAAAGATACCTGAGATGAGCACCAGTGGGGCGCTGCATGATCAGGCGGGCAACGCAGTGGAATTGATTGGCCAAATAGAAACGACATTGTTCTGTGCCCATATGCGCAAGCGCCGAGAAGCCCCCCGAAACCAACGAGACGCGACGGGGCAGCAAAGGCGACTGCGACTGCTGTCTCAGAGAGCGAAAACTGGTAGCTGGCGGTCAGACGACTGCGGCCTTTATGATGGGAGCGAAGACCAAAGGGAGCGCCGAGTGACAGCGGGGCGCTACCTGATCCCACATGGGCCATGCGATGGAAGGATGGCGACGACTTTTTTCCCCCATACGCCGGCACCACTGCCTCAGAAGAGGCCAAACGCGACTGGCCGGGGCCCGAGCGGGGCCGACGTGGACAGCAGGAGGCCAGCAGGAGCGCGCAACGGCGGCGCACTCAGCACTGGCAGAGCCTTGCGCTGGCAGGCCGGGGCATCGCAGCCCGCGGCCTCGGCGGCAAGCCAGAGGAATGGCGCTGCTGCGGACGCCCGCGCAGTAGTCACGGCCACCGAGACAAGCGCGCATAGCGGACATCACTGCTGCCCACGTGGAGTATGTGCCCTGCGGTTTCTGGCCCACGCGGCGAAGTCGCCCACTTGCAAGGCGCTGCCGAGCGAGCCGAGCGAACATAGGGAATCATCGCGATGCGTGTGCCAATTTGCATGGCGACGCACAAAACAAACGACTCGCCTGCAGTCTGCGCGCTCTTTGGACGCCAGACCCTCCACCCAATCAGCGCACTTCTCCCGGGCGCGCCTGGGGCCAGAGACATCCAAGCTGGCGAAGGAACACGGCGGACTCAGCGCCGCGGAAATTGATCCGGAGAGCCTCCACCACGAGACCGAGCGAAGAGCGGCGCGCGCCAGCGCCGCTTGACCGTTGCACGCCGCGAGCAAAGAGTTCGCAAAGCACGCAACTTCCACGCCCGAAACTCGTCGGGGCCTGGAACGGGCCCCATCTTCACCTCAGTCGCTCGACCAGCCTGTCGCCAATGATCAGGGGGATCAGGCAGCGGCGGAAGAACACCTCCTCCAGCTCCGCCCCCGTCGGACGGACCATCACCAGACCCGCGACAAGAACTGTGATTGTCTTCGTTCCCGTCATCCTGATCATCCAAATCACCCCCACACTCACCACCATCGCCCCCGTCGGAACCGGAATCGAAAAAGAATGGGCCGAGGCCTTCAACGCCTTCCGGAGGTGGACATCAGAAGGCCACGCGGACACGCTGGAAGTTGCGGCGATGGCGCCTCTGCAGGGGAACGGGGGAATTCCATCGAATGCCCCTTCTCAAGTGGCGGGAAGCGCAAACTCCTGAGCTTTTTGCCGCTGCGACGGCGAGATGGCGAGCTTCGACTTTAGCCGATCGCTTTGTTCTTAGCTTCCCAATCTGAACTACCCATTCGGATTTGATTTAGGATTTCGCTTTGTGCCTCGCTGAGAGCGGGGTTCGTTGCATCTGCCTCCAGCTAGCGAGATGCCCTGTTTCTCTTTTCTCGCCCAGCCGCTTCTTTGCGGCATCAGCTCCAGCATCGGCCTTGTTCTGATGACAAAGCGCGCGCCCCCAAGTGCCGGCCCCCACAAAATGGCGCGCCACATTGTACGCAACCACCCCGCATTGGCAACGAACCACAAAATGCATTTCTCCCATGAATCGCCGCTCCTCCACCCGGACACTTGCAACGACCGCGGGCGCTGAACAATCCGAACCGACCCCGCGCCCGCTGCCAACCGACTGAGTCTGGACAGAGGCGGGGCCACTCGGAGACGGAGGCCGAACGCAACTTGGGCGCCTCTGAATGCCTAGCCCCAGCGTCTGTCAAGCGGGGAATTGCGGAATCTTGGGCGGCCAACAGATGCTACAACGCCACAGGTTAAAACTATGGCGCGGTCAGCCTCCCTTGCCGTTCTCGACTCTCATGAGCGAATTTCAATGACAGAAATCAAAATTTCTGTTGCGCGCTTCCCGGTTGGATCATATATTCCGCGGTTTTGCTCGCGTCATCAATGGCGGTTTGCTCCCTGATACAGGCCTGCTGGACAGCAGCGTTCGCTGTCTCCCTTTCTGCTGAGCTACACAGGCAGCCTGAACCGCCCTCTCGCGAGAAACTGCGACCACTTCCTGGTCGGAACTAGACGCAGTAAGTCGGGCCCTTTCTATCTCGCGCTGCATCTGACGTTCTTGATCAGCCATTTTCTCCGCTGGAACCTGTTTCAAATATCCGCGATAGTCAATCGAGCTGCGTCCTCAGCTTTGTTCTTATGATTATCAGCTTCCTGCAAAGACAGTTTGAGTGCCTCCAGGGTCGTTTGTTGATGCAAATGGGTATTCTGAGCTATCAATATATACCGTTCCCTTCCTTGCTCGAGCGTCCCCATCTGGCCCTTCTGCTCTCTGGAGAGCTGTTCACTCGCAGCGGCCATTTTCTGGTTCCTTCTACTGCCACGCCATGATCATGAAATACTGGCACGTATGCCATCGAAGACCAACACAATCCTTACAAAAACCAGCTAGCATTACAATCCTTAAGCGCACGCTACACAGACTGGCCTACGACAGAGAACGTTCTCTCGCCCCGCTATTCCTATGCCCCGATATTTTTGCTGACGTCGGGCAATTTGGTCCCAGGGCCGAGCAAGACACTGAAATAGAAGGCATACTAGAAGATACGTTTCCAGAAAGGCCATTAGAACCGCGACTGGTCCTTGATCTAATGAAATCCATAAGAGGAGGTCCGAACTTAGGTTTCCTTCTTGGGATTGGGAATCTCGGGAGGGTAGGTACAAGATCCATGTCTGTTCTCCCCCCCTTCCGCACTCTGAGCTTGACGGGTTGAACTGGCCCGTTCAAAGATCTCTTCATCAGCCTCATCGACCTCTCGAGTAATAGGGTCGTGAGACACCGCTGCATGGCCCCCCGTTGAACCAGAGGAGACTGCGTTGGCGAATCATATACCTCCATATTGTTGTCGGATCGCCATGTCAACCTTGTGGGAACGGCGCATGCCCAGTTGGGTGATCTACCATACCTGGTTACCGAAGAGTCAATACATCAATCGGCGACTGGGAGATTCCTACCAGCTCTGCTCTTCCAGATGGCCGTGGGCCTGAAGGATGGTTGAACCACAACCCAACATACCGGCACGTTTTCTCAACAGCATGCCTCGATCGTCAGCGAGGCCACCGGTTAAACAGGCAACCTCGCTCGCAGCACTGCGCAACTCTGCTTCCAATGGTGAATTCAACGAGCTAAATTCTGAATCGATGAATGCGGAAAGCTCTCGATCGACATTGTTTCCCCTCAATCCAATATCCCCTCTCGGAATTATGACTCGAGAAAAACCCAAGGCACTTCGATAGGCATCATGGGTTGTATATGTCGGCGCAGCTAAATGACCAACTCGCTACGATGAGAAAATCCAGAAGCTTTCGGCTGACAACCAGTTACTTGCCAAAGGAACAGAAAATCCTGACAGAATGATTGGTACACCGTCTTGCTCTACTACGGCCCCCTGAACTCCATTCTCAATCGCTGGAACGCTCATGGACGACATGGCACGACAATGTCATCAGTTAAGCAGGGCGTGCAAATGAAGGTAGTGATATATGCGCGCGAAAGGAAACGCGCGCGCCCTTTTCTTCCTACTCGCAGCCCAAGACAGCTGCGGCACGAGCAATGACCAACGTCGATTGGCGATGGCAGCGGCGGCGGGAGACGGGGGATGGCAGGGACAGAGCCATGTTGACTGAACCTCCCAACATCAGCTTGCGCCGTTTCTGCTCTTCGAGTGTACGCCTCATAGATGGGGTCAGAGTAGATGGGCTCGGATCGCGCCGCATCGCCGATGCATCGGCGACGTCGGCGACGCGTCGGCGCCATCGGCGTGGACAAAATCGGACTCAACATCGAACCGCATCGCAGTTGTATCGGCGATGCGGCGCGATCCTCCGACCACCTACTCGGACCCCATCCGGGAAGCCCCGAGAGGGTAGCCCCGCTGGCCTGCCACAGGTCGGCCAGCGACCGCGCCGAGGGCGGCTGGGAGGGCGGCGGGTCTTCCTCTGGACAAGCGCGCTCCACTGCTCTCAGGAGTGGCTGCTCGCAAATGGCCCGGATCCGCCACGCGAGGGAGCTACGATCCGTCGCGTAAAGGAAGACATGCTTCTGTTCGGACGTTTGCGAGCAGGCACTCTGCGATTAAAGAAGAAGACAAACGCCATAGGCATAAACTGTTGGCGCTCCGCGCGGATTTCTTGGATCTGCGCTGGACCCCCCTCCCTGGCGCGCGGGAGAGCGCGCCAGGGGCGGCGCCGGAGGCGCTGCCGAGGGGGGGGGAGGGGGGGCCAGAGCGGATCCGAAAAAATCCGCGCGGAGCGCCATCTTGGAAAGTAGGCTTAAGTCGCGCCTGCCCCTCCACAGGAGGAATATCCAAAAACAGTACAAAGAATAGTCTGGGGACGGTTTGTGGCCTGTTTCCGCTAGCATTTTTAGGGCGCTCCTTCGTGGTGTGTATGTCTGGAGCTCTTCCTCCAGAATCCCCCCGTATGGGGGGACGGGCCCGACCTACAAGCGTAATTAGGCACCCTGCGAGCAGTGGAGCGCGCTCGGCGGTCCTCGGGCATCGCGTCGGGCAGGCTGGCCTCGGTTGGCGGCGCGCACAGGGGGGTGGAGGGAGGGGGGAGGGCTTCTTGAAGGAGGATGCTTCTTAGCAGGAGGCTGCTTCTCAGAAGGCTTCTTGGAAGGCTCCCTAAGAAGCAGGGGTGCTTCTAAGAAGCCCTCCCCCTCCCCCGACTGGGGGGGGGGGGGCGGGAGGAGGAGGAAGGAGGAGGAGGAGGGGAGGAGAAAGGAGGAGGAGGAGGAGGCAGACCCTGACGGGCAGGCTGGCCACCCCTACCCCCCTCTGCGCGCGGCTGGCCTCGGGGCCCGAGGCGGCGGGCCGACCCCGGGGGGCGGCCGCGGGCCGTGCCGGGAGGCCGCGGGCCGCCGGCGGGGCGCCGGCGGACAGCAGGCCGGGTCGGCCCCCGGCGGGATAGCCCCGGCGGCGAGCACGTCGGCGAGATCGGGATCGACCCACATCGTCGAGGTCGGCGTGGGTCGGGCGTGTCCCCCTAGAGGCGGCCTGTGGACCACACACACACGTATATGTATAATATATATATATATCCATATACATATATACACATATGCATATATATATATATATACATACATACATACCTACCTACCTACCTACCTACCTACCTACCTACCTACCTACCTACATACATACATACATACATACATACATACATACATACATATACATACATACATACATACATACATACATACATACATACATACATACATACATACATACATACATACATACATACATACATACATACATACATACATACATACATACATACATACATACATACATACATACATACATACATACATACATACATACATACATACATACATACATGCATGCATGCATGCATGCATGCATGCATGCATACATTCATACATACATACATATATACATACATGCATGCATGCATACATACATACATACATACATACATACATACATACATACATACATACATACATACATATATAACACCTGAGAAAACCCAATCAGTGGGTGATCTGAAAATTGATACTATGGATCTAGAGATCGGTTGTGAGATCGATAATGAGATCAATAGTGGAAGCGATTGTGAGGACGATTGTAAGTTCGATCGTGAGACCGAGAGTGAAAGCGATTCAATGAGATCGATAGTGAGATCGATCGCAAGATCGCTCATGCGATCTCTAGAGATCGCTTGTGAGATTGATAGTGTGATCGATTGTGAGATCGATGGTGAGATCGATCGAGAAGTCAGTAATAAAATCGATGGTGAGACCAATCGATAAGAAGATCGACCAAAAACCTGGAACCTGGAACCTCGCCGCCCTCCGAAATCGGCCCGGAACCCGGAACCAGGAACCCGGGAACCCTGGAACCGAGAACCCGGGAACTCGGGAACTCAGCGTGCGACCAAGATCGGCGGGGCACTTTCGCCAAATCCTTCAAGATCCGCGAGAACCCCTTCAGTACAAGCACTGATTGGGGAATATGCCAAAAAATATTTCATACAAAAAAACCACACTGTTTGAACTGTTTCCCAAAGCAGTGCTTGCACTGAAGGTGTCCTAGCCGAAAATGAAAGATTTGGCGAAAAGTTTCCCGCCGATTTCAGTAGCAGGCTGGGTTCCCGGGTTCCCGGTTCCGGGTTCCCGGTTCCGGGTTCCCAGGTTCCTGGTTAGTGGTTCCGGGCCGATTTCGGTGGGTTCGGGGTTCCCGGGCTCCCGGGTTCCCGGTCGATCTCGTCATGATAACCATCCACTGATTGGGGGTTTTCTCTGGTGTATTTTTGGATATTCCTCCTGTAGAGGGACACGCCCGATTTACGGGTGTCCGCAGGGCAGGCCGGGCGATTAGCCTGAGACCTCCTCCATGCTTATGACCCTGGAGCTTGAAATTGCGAGCAGTCGCACGGATTGAGGGGGGTCCCTTTCCAAATGTGGCTCGCGCCTTGGCGCCGCGCACACTTCCAACAACTCCACGGATGGAACTCACGTCGTTTGCAAAATGCGGCTCATCCCTTCGTGCCGCGCATATCTGCCTTAAAAGCGTCCAACCGCCACGCAGCGAACCCAGGCGAGAAGTCAGAAGGGGCGGACCTTCTCAGGAAGCTCGGAAGGCATCCAGTCTTCTGAGAAGTCGTCCGAGCCTTCTCCGAAGGCATAGAACACTTCTCAGAAGGCCTGAGGGCTTCCGAGAACCCCCGCCGCCTTCACTTCTCCCCTGGGCTCGCCGCCGACAAAATGCGGGACCCATCGCCACCGCGCCGCGCACCTTCGCATGAAAACAGTGCGGCCGTCGCACCGGCGCCGTGCACGCGGGCGGCGGAAGACTCCCACGGCTGCACGAGCGGAAGGGGGCGTTCTCAGAACGCGGCCCTCACCGCAGCGTCGCGCTCCAGCGGCGCACGGATGGAGGGCGGCCCCTGCTAGGGTGAACGCTTTCTTATTCGGCGTTTCGACATTGAGCGGAAGGGGGGGGGGGTCCGGCTCCAGACCTCTGCTCAGTGCGACTGTTTGCGGCAGTGCGTCCCGTGGCCGAGGGGCCCCACCTGCTCCGAAGGAGGCGCCCGAGAGCAGCCAAGATCTGCTCCAGGGAGGGGGGGCAGGGGGAGAGGGTGCGAGGGCCCGCGCCGATCGGCAAAACAACGAATACAGAAACGATCGCCACTGTCAGAAACCGATCTGATTCAGTCGGGCCTGTCCCCCTACAGGGGGATTCTGGGCGAAAAGCTAAAAATACCCAAGAAATGCCCAAAAGATGCCCAAAAATACGAGAAACAAGAAGAAAAAAAAAAAAAAAAAAAAAAAAATGTCCGCAGACTACTTTTTTACTATTTTTGAATCTTCCCCCTGTGGAGGGACAGGCCCGACTTCACGGTATGTTCCGCGCGGGTCGCTCACGGTGAGTTGCAGAGCGCTGCGCAGCGGCTGCACGAACGGAGAGCGGCCCACCCGCCCCCCGGCGTGGAGCTGCGTGGCTCGAGGCCGCCGCGGGCTGCCGGACCGGGCGCCCCTCGGGAGGCAAACCGAAGGGGCCCTGGGGACAGAGGGCCGCGGCAAACACGGCACGGAACGAGGTCGAGGCCATCCAACGATATCCCAGCGGCCAAGGGACTCGAAGCGACCATGCCACTGACGAATAACAGGACTCCCCACATGTTCCCATGTTTCCTGGGTGTCTTCCCCCCCATGGGTGCCATATTTTCCCATATTTTCCGAGGGGATCGACGATGAATTGCGTCTGTATGTTTTTTCCCTCCTGGTAAACGCGCAGACTGATGGCAGCCTGGCTTTTAGGTCGGGCATGTCCTCCTGCAGGCGGACTTGGGCGAACTAGAAAATAGTCCAAGAATACTGAAGAATTGTCAGGAATAGTCCCCCCCCAAAAAAAAACGTCCCGTGATTATTTTCTAAAATATCGCCAAACACTTTTCGGGGACCGGGTTAGTCGGGCCCTGCAGGATCCTGCGCCCAAGCCCGGGTAAGTGCGCCCCTGGCGCTGCAGGATCCTGCAAAATTCTCCGATTTGACTGACCCCGTTCGCAGTGCCCCTTGTCCCTTTTTAGACGCCCGAAATGGGCACGGAAAACATGGGTACAATGCCCAACAACAAATGTTGTCCCAAACCAACAGCGGCCGCTGTTGGGCAGGCGGCCCTCTGTCTCGTATGGACACAGGCCGCGGCGGCGCGGATAACGAGTCCTGTTCAAAATGAACAAGAACTGATGTTGGGCATTGTACCCATTCATTCCGCATCCATGTCGTTCGCGCCGACTCAGACGCCGTCGCGCCCTTTGAGAAGTATCATGCGTCTTCGGGGAACGCTGAGGACGAGGACCTCCGAGCCTTCTGGGAAGGCCCGCCCCTTTTCGTTTCCTCCTCCTCGTCCTCCTCCTCCGTCCTCCCCCTCCTCCTCCTCCCTCATCCTCCTCCCTTGAGCCCCCAACTTCCTCGAGTCCCAACGGCCCGGCCGCCGCCCCGGCGGCTGGAGCCACCGCGGCGGCCCCGGTCCTCCGCGCACGGGCCCTGCCGCCCGACGCCGGGGACCCGCGGGGCGCTCGCCCCCCGCGGGGGCAGCCGCCACTGACGCGCTGACACCCTCGTACAAGATTCGGTCTCGACCTCCTCCTCCTCCTCCTCCTCCTCCTCCTCCTCCTCCTCCTCATCCTCCTCCTCCTCCTCTCCTCCTCCTCCTCCTCCTCCCTCCTCCTCCTCCTCCTCCTCCTCCTCCTCCTCCTCCTCCTCCTCCTCCTCCTCCTCCTCCTCCTCCTCCTCCTCCTCAGCCCCTCACCTAAGGAAGGATGAATAAGCTCGCCGTCGTCGCCTGTCATGACCGCCATCGCGCGCTTCCGGCAGCAGCGGAAGCGTCCCGGGTCGGCGGCACGGGTCGGAGGCCACCACAGTAAGGAACGGAGCCCCTTTTTTCCAAGTAGGTCTAGGAGGTCCGAAGGAACACCAAGGGGGCTCGCCGCCAAAAAGGTAGCAGAACGCGTGCTGACCAAAGGAACGACCGAGCCCCTTCTGAAAAATAATGCTCCTTATTCAAGCTGGACCCTCCGTGATGGTTGGCGGTTCTCGTCTCCCTCGCGTCCCGGGACGGTCTGGGTTACCTTCGCAACCCCCTCTGCTGTCTCCTCCGCGCTCGTGGATCGAAGCGTGACCACACGCTCTGCTACAGCTGTCGCCCCACGGACGACAGCGAGGAGGAAATGAAGCCCAACATTTTCCTCGGGCGGCCTCGACGAGAGTGACGCCACCTCTGCACCAGCACTGAACACACACACACACACACACACTACAAGGCTGTAGGAGAGGGAGTGAGTAGTATGGCATGGCTGCAAAACAATTGGGTAAGAGAATATGGGAAAGAGTCAGTGGTGCGAGTCTTGAGCCAAAATTGTTACGACCCTTCACTTCTAGTCAAGGGGTCCTGTGGGACATGATATCTCTCCAAAAAGGGACGCCGCATGACAGAAATCTCACAATCTTGGGTTTACTCTGATGCTCCTCCTGCTCCTCC